GTGCGTGCAGGATTGTTCTGTCAAAAAGCCTCTGTCGCTGTCGGGGCTTTGCACCTTCTATTCTCTCCTTCTTTCACACACAGCACCAACACACAACACGTGCATGCACACACACAGCTACACACGTCCTCTGAAGCCAACAAGGTTTGTCAGAGGCTATTTCTAGCCTGCTTTCTGAGAACGAGCCCCTTTCACTGGTGACAACAGGACCATTGTGTCAGAATACACATACATCACGCACAACACAACACACACCACGCACACACCAACAACACAGTTACCCTCCTGGGCATTTGGTCAAACGTGTGGATCAGTACGGTAAGTTTCAAGTTCAAAACCCTTTGATTACTCTGCTTACATTGATTTGCTTTCTGTATAGCCCGAGTCACCGGAAGGAAAACACACAGGTGGACTATGGTAAATACAATTTATGTATCAATATTGCTCATAATTATTAACCCATGAGTCCAGCTTTTACAGCATTTCCTCTCGAGATTCCCGCCCAGCATGGCAGTATTTACTCAATCTGTGCAGTTGTAAAATAAAATCAATCTTCAATCAAACAAAACAGGTGGATGCAAAATGATAATGGTCATTTAGCTTTTCAGGTTTGTCCAGCTCATAAATATTTGACACTTGGTGTTTCTCTCCATGTGAGTGTGGTAACTGAGCCTCAAGTTGCTCTGTGGACTGCACAATACTGTGTAGCTTTTGTCACAGAAGCAGTCATGTAAACAGTCATTTTAGTATTTTAGTTTCTTAATGTAGAAGTGTGATATTACATTACATTGGGCTGAGACAGGTTCATGTATTATTAGAGTGCACAGTGTTGTATATAAGTGAAATTTATTCACTTCCAACCCGATGGAAGATTGTTGCACCAAGGAATAACACGATTTAAAGCAAAGCTAAATTACATTTTGCTCTGTAGTGGGAACCACTGGTTGAATATAATAAGCAAAGAATGAATCATTTTCCTGCATTACACCATTTGAATGGGCTTCAAGGTAGAAATGGGAAGATGTTATATCTAAGGGTTGAAAATATTCGGGAAAGTATTTTTATTATCCCTAATGATAGCTTGTGTTTACCTAATCTCTACATTGTGGTGTGCCATAAATATTCCTAAATCTACTGAGTGTCTTACTCCAGCTGTC